TTTTTTTTTTTTCAACGTTTTTATTTATTTTTGGGACAGAGAGAGACAGAGCATGAACGGGGGAAGGGCAGAGAGAGAGGGGGACACAGAATCGGAAACAGGCTCCAGGCTCTGAGCCATCAGCCCAGAGCCCGACGCGGGGCTTGAACTCACGGACCGCGAGATCGTGACCTGGCTGAAGTCAGACGCTTAACCGACTGCGCCACCCAGGCGCCCTGAAGAAGCCATCTTAAAGAGGTTCTCAACTGACCAAAGACATAACAATTTGGGCCTCAACAGTGATAATCGAAGCAGACTGGAACAGACCAAATATGTTAAATTTAAAAGTTCTTAATGATATTTTAAAAATTGGTCACCTTAGGAGGGTGATGAGAAACCAGTTCATTTTCCTAAAAACTGGAAAATAAAGTGAAAGAATCAAGTGCTTATCATGCCTACCTTCTATGAACTGTACCACCGGGTAACCAAATAGTAGATAAGGAGAATTGTTCTTACGTATTAGTATTCTAACTAATCAGTGAAGATAATCATTTTGCATTCCTTACTGAATGAGTGTTAAACAGCAGTAGCTATGAAGGTTGCAGAAATATTACCTATAGATGTGCCAAAGGAATCAATCCTGAGTCTGACCCAGTCTCCTGGATCTAGCTGCCTGTTTGCAGGAAATAGAGAGGAACATGTTGAAACATACCATCACTATATAATCGGGAAAATCCAGACTCTGGGAAACTCAACAGGTCACAGGTCCCAGATTCTTCAAAAGAAAAACTGAAAGGAAATGACAGGGATGGAGAAAGAATCAATAGATTCAATTTAAAGAGATTCAGGATATCAGCTTTAAAAAACCAGGAATACACATTTGGGTGACAAAATTCCTAGAACCATGAAGGAATGATTACTGTGAAAAGGTAAATGGTTAAAATATGGTGGGGAGAGAGGTTTGTGATTGGGGTGGGGCACACAGAAGTTTTCTGGAGTGGCTGGCAAAGTCTTATTTCTTGATCTAGATAGTATCCACCTTAAATACTTCGTTTTGATTTGTTTTCTGTATCTGATAGTTTAAAAATTAAGTACTTATTAGCACAGTGCCTACAATAAAAACATTCAATATATGATACTGATGACCAGAGAAATTTTTCACTGAAAATGTTAAATGTAGACCCCGGTTTTACCGTGTGCCAATTGCAAGGAAAAACATTGGGTGCTGAGCTTAAAAAAAAAACCAAGTGACTGATGAATCAAGCATTGGGATGCCTCATGTTTGCACAGTTTATTCAAAGCTTACCATTTTTAAAATGCCAGATTTGTGTTCTTTGTTGACGTTCCTAAAAATGTGTGCTACCTTCATATATTTTCTTTTTGTTCTTTGAGTCACTTCTCAACCTCAGTTATAACTCTGCTAGGTCATGGCGGCTTTTTAATTGCTCTTTAACATTCCGTTCACTCCTCTAGATGAATCAACTCATGTTTCCCATTGTGTTATTCATGTGTCTCCGTGGCAGCCCCACCCCATCCTCCATTGTGAAGTCACTTAATCTGCCAACCAGTTAGATGCCATGATTGCCTTTAGTATGAATCTCCTCATAGGCATTAAATACTGCTGAGTTTTGTTACTGTCCCCAAGGTTTTTGTCAGGGCCAGGACTATTGACTCATTTTCCCTGGGTGCACAATTTAAGGGAATGCCAAAAAATCACAGTAATCAAGGTAAATAATACTTAAATGTATTTTTTAATGTTTATTTTTGAGATAAGGAGAGACAGTGTGAGCAGGGGAGGGGCAGAGAGTGAGAGGGAGACACAGAATCTGAAGCAGGCTCCAGGCTCTGAGCTGTCAGCTCAGAGGATGAATTGAGTAAGGCACTCATTCTTGGGATCATGCAAATGCAGGCTTAGATCCTATCTTTATTTAGAATTTTGATATTTTACTAATTATGAATATTTTTGGCATTAATTTGGTGGCCCCTTAAATTTTGCACCTCACTACACCCAAGTCCCTGCCCTTTGACGTATAGAGAAGTTGAGTCTTACTGTGTGTATTCATATTCTGAGATGTCCTGAAACAGACTGTACATTCATGGACAGGGGAAATAAGCATTTTGAATGCACTACATTTGTTTCCATTAATGTGTTTTAAGTTTATTTTTAGAGAGTGTACATGCATGCAGGGTGGGGCAGTCAGAGAGAGAGGAAGAGAGAGAATCCCAACCAGGCTCTGTGCTGTCAGTGTGGAGCGTGATACGGGACTGGATCCCATGAACTGGGAGATCATGACCTGAGCTGAAATTAGGAGTCAGACACTTAGCTGACTGAGCCACCCAGGCACCCCTCCATTAATATTTTAGGGAGGTTTGTTTGCATTGTTTTGGAGCTATCCCTTAAATTTTACCTGTTAAACCTATAAAGCCCTTTCAAGTCTGCAAATGAGATGCTCATGTATCTCCAGAGCAATGGGAAATTCTAAAAGCTTTTTCTTAGGGGGCATATTACACAATGCAGTTCCAGGGAAGGTGAGTTCAGATAAAGTAACCTCCAGATTTCTTCTGCATTGGATTGTTTCAGGTCTGTGAGAACGAACTTAGCTATCTCTATGTCTGGTAGTTGGTTTTTACCTAGTGATCATAATCACATTCTGGTATCTTTAGCTAATTGCTAATTTACTTTTTAAGAAATGGTGTGATTTGAGTGCTAGTTTAAAAGGAATATAAGCAGAGCTTTGTTGAAGAAGCCATTGTTTTATAGAAAACAAATTCGTAAAGCCTTTAGAATATTTGGAGTTACTCTAAAAATTAAATGTGTCTTCCAAAACTGTGAAAGTGGAGATTTCTACATACATGATAAAACTAAAAACAGTTGGGCAAGTTTTAAAATTTTACTGTTTAATTTAGATCCAGTAAGAATTCTTTTTTGGTGCCCAGCTCTGAGTTTTGACAATGTATAGAGTTGTATAACCACCACTACAATCAAGAGAGAACAGTTTCATCACCCCCAAAGAGTTGTTTATCCAACTTTTTTTTAAATGTTTGTTAATTTTTGAGATAGAGAGCAAGAGCACAAGCAGGGGAGGGACAGAGAGAGATGGAGACAGGATTGGAAGCAGCCTCCGCACTGATAGCAGACAGCCCGATGCGGACTCGAACTCAGAGCTGTGAGATCATGACCTAAGCCGAAGTTGAAACCTTAACCGACTGAGCCACCCAGGCGCCCCATGAATACTGTTTTTAAACTATAACAATAGGTATAGAAACTTAAAGCAATATGATATTTCATCTAGCCTGTTTTAGATTCTGTGCTTACAAATGGAACTGGCATGATTTAGAATGCCCTATGTTCCAATGATGCTACCAAGTAGAAACCTTCAAGGATTACTTAAATCTGTAATCTGTGTAATTTAGTCTCTTATTAGCTTCTACATCTTGTGATTTGACTAAGGATGGCAGATGGCTGAAAACATCCTTAACTTTGTATTAAGCTAAGTAAAAAATTTTGCTTTAATGATATTTCATTTTTGTACCTGTTAGCTGATGTTTTTTTTAAAAAGTCTTGCTGGTGGGGCGCCTGGGTGGCGCAGTCGGTTAAGTGTCCGACTTCAGCCAGGTCACGATCTCGCGGTCCGTGAGTTCGAGCCCCGCGTCGGGCTCTGGGCTGATGGCTCGGAGCCTGGAGCCTGTTTCCGATTCTGTGTCTCCCTCTCTCTCTGCCCCTCCCCCGTTCATGCTCTGTCTCTCTCTGTCCCAAAAATAAATAAAAACGTTGAAAAAAAAATTAAAAAAAAAAAATAAAAATAAAAAAAAAATAAAAAGTCTTGCTGGTGAAAACTCTGCAATTTCTAGATTATTTTTCTTTTAATTTCAAGTAATTACCTGAACTCAAAGTAACCTGTAATGAACTCCCAGTTTTCAACTGGCATGTCTAAGAAGGTGGGCAATTTATCTTCCAAGTTTTTGTTTTTAAGTCAAACCATAAGAATTGGAATCTTTTGACCATACTGGAGACACAAAAGAAGTAGATGAACTACTGCTGATAAGGTGTTACAGGTGTGCATTCCTTCTTTTTCTTTTTTAGTGATTGCTTCGCCATCCTATCCATACCTTTCTCCTCCTATTCCTGCTGCTGCTGCTGCCACTGCCACCACTGCTGCTCCTTTACCACCTCCACCTCTTGAGGTGGGAGAGGCTTCAAACTTCCCACCACCACCACTTCCACCTCCACCTTATTCCTGTGATCCAAGTGGCAGTGATCTGCCTCAAGGTAAGGAGATTTTGAGACTTGGGCGAGGGTTCTTTTCCTCCCAACAAGTGCCCTCCTCAGTGCCCATCACACATTTCCCCCTCCCCTGTCCCCTCCATCAGCCGTCAGTATGTTCTCTGTATTTAAGAGTCTCTATTTCTGTTCATTCTTCTGTTGATGGACATCTGGGTTACTTCCATTTTGGGGCTTTTTATTCATGTTTATTTTTTAATATTTATTTATTTTGAGAGAGAGGGAGGGTGCAGGGGAGGGACAGGGAGAGAGGGAGAGAGAGAGAATCCCAAGCAGGCTCCTTTTTTATCAGCGCAGAGCCTGGCCTGGGGCTCCAACTCCTCAACTGTGAGATCATGGTCTGAGCCAAAATCAAGAGTCCCATGCCCAACTGATTGAGCCTCCCAGGTGCCCCAAGGCTATGCGTATTATAAAAAGTCTTTATGAACATAACGTTTTCATTCCCTTTGGGCAAATACCTAGGAGTATACACACACACACACCAAGGGATGGAATCCCATGCCATTTGTGAATTTACTTCCTGCTATTACCTTTTCATATTCTTTAGCTTAACCATTAGTCTTTATACTCCACTCCCACATAATAGTCAAAATACAAACTGATGGCATTTAGAGTGGTATAGTGAATATATTTGTATGTATCCGAAGTCTCTAACTTAAGGGGAGTTTTCTTAGAGTTCATTTGTTTGTAGGACTCAAGTTCTTATATTTGTAAGAATATACATGTATCCCGGGTCAGTCAATAAAAATACATTTAGATATAATTAGAACAGTAAGACTACCCTCTTCTCCTGTATATCTAGTTTTTATTTGTGAAACTTTTTTTTTTCAACGTTTTTATTTATTTTTGGGACAGAGAGAGACAGAGCATGAACGGGGGAAGGGCAGAGAGAGAGGGAGACACAGAATCGGAAACAGGTTCCAGGCTCTGAGCCATCAGCCCAGAGCCCGACGCGGGGCTCGAACTCACGGACCGCGAGATCGTGACCTGGCTGAAGTCGGACGCTTAACCGACTGCGCCACCCAGGCGCCCCTATTTGTGAAACATTTTAAGTTCTGTGACGTTACATTTTTAAAGTTAGCTCTATTTATTTATTTTGCATTATTACTATTTTTTTTTAATTTTAGATACAAAAGTTTTGCAGTACTATTTCAATCTGGGATTGCAGGTAAGTCATGATGAAATTGTTTTGATAAGCTCTAGATTAAAAATGTAAACTGGGTTGATAATCACACTCTTGAACTTTAAAAGCCAAGGACACTGTGAGGAGCCTAAAATTTGTCTTTGTAAGATCTCTCTGAAGACAATAGGTCAGTTTTCTCTTTTAGCCTCTCAGTGCTTCAATTCCTCTTATGAAATAGTTACTACATTAAAGCAGCACAACTTTGGCATATATTGGCCTCCATGTTTAGCATCCTATGTGTGCCAACCCTTCACTATGTTTTTCTGACTCAATAATAAGTGAATTATTTGTCCTGCTTAATTGAAACCTTTTTATGGTTATTTCTGTGTGTTAATCCTAAAAGTAATTGGACAAATTTAAAGACATTTGAAGGGCTGTATTATTTCTTTTTTTTTTTTAATTTTTTTTTCAACGTTTTATTTATTTTTGGGACAGAGAGAGACAGAGCATGAACGGGGGAGGGGCAGAGAGAGAGGGAGACACAGAATCAGAAACAGGCTCCAGGCTCTGAGCCGTCAGCCCAGAGCCCGACGCGGGGCTTGAACTCCCGGACCGCGAGATCGTGACCTGGCTGAAGTCGGACGCTCAACCGACTGCGCCACCCAGGCGCCCCTGAAGGGCTGTATTATTTCTAAAGCCCGTATGTGTTCATAGATATTTACCAAACACTGATTTTCATCACCCGCTGGAGTTGTAGAAGGGTGGGGATTCTGACAGATATCTTCCTATCACTGAAAGGTGTTTTTGATTTTAGGTAAGAGCTTTTATTTTTTCATTCAGGAATCATTTTCCCCCTGAAATACACCTGACTTCTGATGTTATAACAAGTGCACTGTAACATACTTCCTTAATAGCTTCTTTATTTCTTTTACCACATATTGACTGCTGTGTAATTTTGTAAAGTTTTAAGTTCACGATAGCAGTTTTTCTTAAATATTTGACAGCATAAGTTTTTTTATTGCCTGTATTGTATACCATCATGGATATATAATTCATCTAGTTCCCTATTGTTTAAGATTTCATAGGTTCACTGTATTTTGCTTTTTTAAAAAATGATGTATAGTTGACTCACAATGTTAACGTTAGTTTCAGGTGTATAAGGTAGCAATTTGATATTCTGCTATGAGGCCACTCGCAAATGTAGTTCCCATCTGTTGCCATACGACACTATTACAATACCACGGACTATATATTCCTCATGCTGTACCTTTCATCCTTGTGATTTATTCCACTCTTTTGCTTTTTTTTTTAAATTTTTTTTAACATTTTTAATATAGTTTTGTGAGAGACAGAGTGCAAGTGGGGGAGCAGCAGAGAGAGAGGAAGGAGACAGAATCCGAAGCAGGCTCCAGGCTCTGAGCTGTCAGTGCAGAGCCCAAACCCACAAACCGTGTGTAAGGTCCTGACCTGAGCTGAAGTTGGACGCTTAACCAACTGAGCCACCCAGGCACCCCTCCGCTCTTTTGCTTTTAAAAATATTGCTATGAAAGATATCTTTATATACAGGTCATTGTGTATGTCTGTAATTTCCTTAGGATGCTTTCTTAAAAGAATTCCTATGCTCAAAAATGAGACACAGCTGCTGCTAAAGATCTTAAAGTTGTAGTAGAATAGATTTCCTCATGTTCTGTTTTTTTTTTTTTTTTCAGAGAAAAATGTTATAGCTACCTTTCTTGAAAATCATAGCCAAACTTTTTTTTTTTTAGTGAAAAACTATACTACTTTAAGTAAAAGGATAGTAAAGTGTTTGTTTTTTTTCTTTCTTGCCCAAGTGCTATCACCACAACTACTGGCACTCCGTGGTCTATGTGCCACAGATGCAGCAGCAGCAACAGCAGCTTCATGTAGAGAATTATCCAGTCTATGCTGAGCCACCCCCTCTGGTAGATCAAAGTATTCCTCAGTGGTATAGTGAGGTGGGGAGACAAGATGGTACACAGGTGGAAGCATCAGGAAATGGTGAGTATGTAATGGGATTGCCTGCAAGAAGGACAGTTAGATTTGATTGTGTGTAATGTATTTAAAGTTTTTTTTTAATGTTTGATTTAAAGAGGGAGAGAGCACGCAAGCAGGGGAGGGACAGAAAGAGAGGGAGAGGATTGGAAGTGGGCTCTGTGCGGACAGCAGAGAGCCCGATGTGGGGCTCAAACTCACAAACTGAGATTATGACCCTGGCCAAAGGCCGACGCTTAACCGACTAAGCCACCCAGGCGCCCCTATCGTGTGTAATTTAATAATAACGCTCAGATATTTTGTTTGGTCCATATTCTAGAACTGTGTTTTTAAAGAATGATTTGTGGACCCTTGAGATTCCCTCTTGGGGGATCCATAAAGCCAAAAGTATTCATCAGAATACATAGATCTTAAAGATTTTATATGCCTCTTTTACTGTTAGATTTTGCATTGAGGATGCAAAAATCAGTAGTGGGTAAACTGCTGCCACCTAAGCACAAATCAAGAGGGGGCACCAAACTGTGCTAGTGATTGTTGTATTCCCTGCCGTACATACTCATGATACAGCAATGCCTGTTATCTCTCTCTCTCTCTCCTTCCC